CAGACCACATCTGGAGTAATATGGCCTGTATTGGCCTCCTTTATTTGAGGAAGTAAATACATTGGATGCAGTTCAGAGAAGCTTTACTTATGAGGAATGGTTGAAAGGGCTAGATCTATATCTCCTGTAGTCCAGAATTGTTAGAACTGACTTAATTGAATCGCATAAAATCTTGAAGGGGCTTGACAGACTAGATGTGGAGAGGATGTTTCCTCTTATGGAAGAATCCAGAAACAGAGGTCACTGTTTGAAAATAAGGTGTTGACAATAAGATGGAGATGAAGAGGTTTTTTTCATTGAGGGTCTTCGGTCTTTGGAACTCTCTTCCTCTCTTTCTGAAAAAGCAGTAGAAGTATAGTATTTGAATATTTTTAAGACAGAGATAGATAGGTTCTTCATAAGCAAGGGGGTGACAGGGCCTCAGGAGTAGATAAAATTGTGGTGTAATCAGATCTGTCATGGATAGCAGAGCAGGCTTGAGGGACTGAATGGCCTATGCCTGATTCTAATTTGCATGGTCATAGATTCATATCACCCTGAATCTAGTTTAGCAGCAACAGTTCCTTCCTAGGTTTGGACTCAACATTGGATGGTGGTCAATGGCGGAGAATAAGGGAACAGTTTATTCCAGCTGTTCACAAGAGCTCCAAGGATTCTTGATCAATTCCAGAAAGACTCTGGATAATCTGGAAGGGACAATAACCGCAGCTTGCAAAACTCATTAAAAGCTCTGGCCCAAGGGGAAGCCAGATGAGTGAGGTACAAGAGAGACGGCTATTAGAATGTGTAAGAGATTTATCCCAGTGCAAGTCTGCATTACTGGGAGAGTGGAAGGGAAAATTAGTGATGAATAGTTTGTTAGCACAGGAGTTTAACATTCTGCTTCTGTGTACATCAATGTGAAGGATATCAATGAATAAAACACTTTCCATTTCAGGTACAAAATGTCAGTATCAAGCACTCTCAGGCCATGGAAAGCAGTGTCTCTTGGAGACTGAAGCTTACTGTAGCTACTCTGCTGCATTAATGTGCATTAACCCTGTGTGACATTGCCAATTCCCTTGATAGCCATGATCATAGCCTCTTTGACTGAGATTGTCACTTCAGTGCCAATTAGTGTGTATCCAGGACAATGAGGAGAGTGAAATATCATCCCATGGCATTCAAATCTGGTCTTGACTGATAGTATAAAAGTACAGTATGCTAAACCATTGCATCAAGAATTCACTATTATAATCTAAGCATATAGGTGGGGAGAAGGCTTGATTGTAAAGAAACCCTTTAAATTTATTGTATCGTTACCACCAGTGATTAACATTTCAGAAAGCAGCAGGCCAATGAAATTACTGGACACTGCTTCCAACAATTAGCTAAATTGGTACCATTAGTACATCAATGGTAAGTGTTTACCACTCAAAGCTGAAATGGGAAGCAGTAGTAGAATTGCTAAACTACACTGCCAAAAATATGGTTGAAGTGTTTGGAGAAATATCCACAATTTAAAAACCATACACCCAAACAGCTTCCAGCAAGTTGCGAAGAAATGAATCAATGATCCAATTTTCTCAAACGCCATTAACTGGACTTCAAACCTAACCAAACCAGCTTTGTTAACTCAGAGGGATGTCCATTGATCATTAAAGTTGGACACAAGTGAATGAACGGATGACGTTTCTATAAATGGTTCAGGGTTGTGAGTAGGTAAAAGAATGAGTGGACAGATATCTCCAGGGTTAAGGGCAGGTAATTATGGAGGTAAGTAGAGTTACGGATCATCAAAGGGTGACAAACAGGAGATTACAGACAGTGTTACAGCACGAGACAGACAGCTGAATCAAATTAGCCTTTCTCCCTCAATATTCAGTAAAATTAAACCATCAAAGACCCCCAAATAGTCACTCCAATCATGCCAGAATTTTGAATGACCAATTGCAGACTTTGTGAATAATTAATTTCCAGACTCCAATTTGTATCTTAAACAAAAGACTTAACTGTTTGTTAGCTACACAATACCTTGAGCAGAGAGAAAATTAAACAACATAGTAAGCTGATTAACATCAGTGCTTTAAACCAAACATTTGTCATCCACCCCATTTACACAAAAGACAATAAGGCAATAAGATATAGCAGCAGAATTAGACCATTCGCCCCATCGAATCTGATTTGCCATTCAATCATGGCTTTAGTGCTTCAGCTTTTTGAAGCCTTTCCCTTTCGGAAATAGTCTACGCCCCTATTCTTCCAACCAAAGAGTATAACTTTACACTTCCCCACATTGTATTCCATCTACCACTTCTTTGCCCACTCTCCTGGCCTGTCCAAGACCTTCTGCAGCCTCCCTGCCTCCTCAACACTACCTGTCCCTATGCTTTGTGTCATCTGCAAACTTACAAACACTGCCCTCAGACCCTTCACCCAAATCGTTAATATAACGTGAATAGTTTTGATCGCAACATTGACCCTTGTGGAACTCTACTAGTCACTGGCTGCCATCCTGAAAAGGACACCTTCTAACTTGCTTGTTACCTCCTCAAAGAATACTAACAGATTTGTCAGGCATGACCTCTCTTTGACGAAGCCATGCTGACTCTGTCATATTTTACAACACACTTCCAATTACTCCGCAATGTTACCCTGAATAATAGACTCTCAAATCTTACCAACAACTGAGGTCAGGCAACTGGCCTTTAATTTTCTGTCTTCTGCCTCCCTCCTTTGTTAAACAAGGATGTTACTTTAGCCGTTTTCCAGTCATCTGGTTTCCAGTGTGGATGAGAGTATGGGCTGTAGGAGGATGAGCAAACTGACCATAGCACCATGGTACAAAAAGCCATTCAAGAGGAGGGAGAGAAAAGCAATATAGTTGTAATTGAGGATAGTATAGTCAGGGGAATAGATACTGTTCTGTGTGACCAGGACTGAGAGTTGCAAAGGCTGTGTTGCCTGTCTAGTGCCTGGGTTCAGTCTATCTCATTTAGGCTGCAGAGGAACATGGAGTGAGAGGGGAAAGGTCCAGTTGTTGTGGTCAATGTAGGTACCAAAGGTCTTGGTGGAATGAGGTTCTACTGGAGAATATGAGCAGCTGGGGGCTAAATTATAAAGCATATCCCAAAAGGTAATAATCGCCGGATTACTACCTGAGCCACGAATTAATTGGCACAACGTCAACAAGATTAAAGAGATAAACGCATGGCTGAAAGATTGGATTGGGAGAAACGGGTTTAAATTCATGGGACATTGGCACCATTACTGGGGAAGGAGGGAATGGTTCCGATCGATGGGCTCCACCTGAATCATTCTGGGAGCAGAGTCCTGATAAATTATAACTCGGGCTGTTTATAGGGCTTTAAACTAAATAGTGGGGATCTGGGGGGTGGATTCAGTTACATGGAAGATTGTGCAAAAAGCTAAGGTGGGGAGGGCATGGCAGCAATTAGTAAAGTTTCTAGAAAAAGTAATAGGACAGAATGTATGGAAAGGCTCAGGAATCTAATTTTAGGCACAGCTGACAAGGGGACAACTATGAGAAAGGGGGCTGTCAACACAGGAGCAGGGGGTCAGTTAACTCAGTTGGCTGGATGGCTGTTTTGCAATGTAGAGTGATGCCAACAGTCTGGGTTCAATTCCCCCACAGGCTGAGGCTACCATAAAGGACTCTTCTTCTCAACCCTTCCCCTCACCTGAGATGTGGTGACCCTTGGGTTAAGTGACCACCACTCATGTCTCTGTACTGAGGGAATAGCTGTGTTGCTTGGTAACACTATGGCAACTTTACCTTTTAATGGTTAACACCAACTTATTGTATAGTGGCAGTACTACGAACAAGAGAACAATAACAGCTGGCTCCCAGAGTTGTAGCCAGATTAGTATGTTCCTAGTAGATGGATTTGTTCAGATGGTGAACAAGTTCAGGTTAAACACAGATACATTGTTCTATATGCGCATAAATTTACAGACAGGTACAGATTTCTGTATATTCATTTGTTTATAGACAGGTAAAAGGCTATAAGTGGATAAGGGATTATAGATAAATGCAAGGTTGTGAATAAATAAGATTATCAGTAATTGTTGGATTCGAGATTGGACTTTGCCAATTTAGCACCATCCTACTTCAACACTGTTGCAATACGATGCAATACTTTACTCCTACAGCAGCGGTCCTAAGGTTATGCCACCGTATTACAATGCAATGTTGCCAGATGTTCTTTAAAAGGATTTTAATTTAATATTTATTAGAATACATCTTAGCATTTGTTATCACAATGCCGTTTTCACCTTTGCAATCATTGCTGATGATTTTCTTTCTTTGCTCTCCTCTCTCCTCCATGCAGTTCCTATCTATTGCTTCTCAAAGGCATTCTGACTGAAATAGCTGGAACTCCTTTTCTTTTGAAAGTTTTCATCTGTTGTGTGCAGCAGTCAAAACCCTTTCATTTCCAAGAAGGTTTGAAAAACAATGCTGAAGGGGAGTGGATCCTTATCATCAATAACAACAATCACTAATACGTTGGCCAGTCCCCTAAGATACTGATGATTGGCATATATGACTGGAATAAGTATTTGAATTGTTTTCACTTGTGGGTTTTGGAATGAAATGCAAGTAGGCTAATTTTTTTTCAAAAAAAGACACAAGAATACCATTCACTATAATGACTGGTTTAACATCAATAAGTATTTGTTTTCTTTCTCATATCAATTCAAGAGTTGCAAACAGAAATATGTAGGGATTAATGCTCCAAACTCCTACTCCCAAGAGTATGTTCTTAATGGGGAGAATTCATGAAATTATTGCATGAAAGTAGGCTATTCAGCCTGTCATGTCTGCAGTGGGAATTGGTATATTGGTTTCATCTGCCTAATATTTCATCAAACCTGAATCCCTTGCAGACCAAGTAAGATTCCAATATGTGACAACCACATAAACAGCCAAAATGATACAGAATTATGCAGTTGTAGGTATAATGCCCAAAGCTAACCCTGATTCTTGTTGTGTTTTGCAGGGCCCTGCTGCTGTGACATGCTCTAAGATGAAGGTATGGAAGGTAGTGGTGGTCGCCTCAATGCTCTTCAGTACCATATTTTCAGCTCTTATTTACAGAAACATGTCCATTAGAGGGAGAACAATTACTCCATCCTCATCAGAAGAGCAGCAGTCCCAGGACCCAAGACTGCCACCCAGCCCCCAGTCTTACAAAGTGAAATGTAAGGGACCAGTACCTTTCCCTGACACATGTGGAAAGGTACATATAGGTCAGCTCATAGTATCAACAATGAGATCTGTTGCACAATGGAAATGCATTTCTATTGCAGTCTTATTCATTGATTGACATTAATGAAGTCTCTATGTTCACAAGTGATGCATTATCTGTTCTTCATTGAAATGGGTATTGAAGTTAAATGCAGTGCCTAATGGACCTGGTTTTATGAAAAATTAAATTTTGTACCATAACAGCAGCAAAATATCCCACTGGTGCAGGATTAATTGTTGATTAGTGTTCCCGCAACGAGTTACATACATTTCATGGGCTGTCTAATTCATAGATTTCTCCGGTCTTTGTGCAAGATAAATGCTCAGGTTCCCACCTGAGTTCCCAGCAGCGTTGATCAAAGGGAAGTTGAGAAAACTTTGGAAAATCTCAGTGACAGTGTTTTTTCCATGGTTTCCATGCCTGAGTCTGCCCCAATTACAGCAAATGGTCAAAAAAAACCTTTCTTTTGTGAGGAAATTCAACTCCTTGCTCTTCATCAAAAACAGAGGTAACAATCCAGAAAATATAATTTTTCACTTGTTTTACCTCAGATTGTAAGCCTTTACTGAACACCTCTGGTTTCTGTCCCAGTATTAAGTCCCATTTTGCAATTGGCAGCAACGGGATGCTAATTAGATTGTGATACAATTTCAACTTCCACCCTCCTTTATGCAAGATATAATACAAAATATTCTCACTCCTCAGGACAGTGAGAAAACTTTAGCATGAGAGTGGTGTGCAGCTCACGAAATACTCCCGCCCAATACCTGTTGTTTAAATGCCTTTAAAATTATTGCTATCATCTGGAAATGTAAATAGAATTGTATTTGTTACATGTATATAAATTCCCCGGTATATTTTACATGGGTATCTATTATTACATAGCATGTTAATGTACCTTTCACCTATTCTATTAGTATTGTTATTACTTCAATTTGTTAGTTGTTTGCTTCTGAATCTGTGTATTAGTTACGCATGCCTATTGCAAGTGTTGGTGTACCTATTATGGGGCTACTTATTATATGGGTGTCTTATTCTGTACACTACCCACATACATGTTGTATGGGTATTTGTGTTATGCATTGCTGAACACCTCAATGCTGCGTGTATAAATATATGTAGAATGTAAGTCTAGCAAAATCACAGCATTCTGTTCATTCTGACTCAAATACTTCATAAGGAACTACTGTTAGGAGAAGTTAACATTTCTGTAGCTGTATTGAAAACTTTAACCAAGAGGTTGGCCAGGATAGGACTTTATTCCTTGGAATGTAGGAGAGTGAGGGGTGACCTTACTGACCTTATGAGTGGAAGAGCACTATCACAAAAGCACCTAAGGACACAGATGAAGGTAGGGCAGTGGATGTTGTCTAAGTGGACTTTAGTAAGGCCTTTGACAAGATCCCACATGGCAGCCTAGTCATGAAGGTTAGGTTGCATGGGATCCAGGGAGAGCTGGCTAGTTGGTTTCAAAATTGGCACAATGGTGAGAAGCAGAGGGTGATGGGTGAAGATTGAATCAGAGATAGTAGGAACTGCAGATGCTGGAGAATCCGAGACAACAAGGTGCAGGGCTGGATGAACACAGCAGGCCAAGCAGCATCATAGGAGCAGAGAGGCTGACGTTGAAGGGTCTAGGCCCGAAACGTCAGCCTCTCTGCTCCTATGATGCTGCTTGGCCTGCTGTGTTCATCCAGCCCTGCACCTTGTTGTCTGTGATGGGTGAAGGTTGTTTCTCGGACTGGAGGCCTGTGACTGACGGCGTGCCACGGGGGTCAGAGCTGGGACCTTTGTTATTTGTTATTTACATAAATGATCTGGATGTGAATGTATAAAGGGTGACATTAGTTTGTGGATGGTACAAAATTAGGAGGTATCCATTGATAGTGAAGAAGGTTATCAAAAATTACAGAGGGATCTTGATCAGATGGGGAAGTGGGCTAAGGATTGGCAAATGCAATTCATTACAGATAAGTGTGAGGTGTTGTACTTTGGAAAGTCAAACCAAGGTAGGACTCATACAGTGAATGACAAGGTCCTGAGCAGTGTTGTGGAACAGAGGGACCTAGGAGTACAAGTACATAGTTTGTTGAAACTATGCATCCCACATAGACAGGGTGGTGAAGGAGACATTTAGCATGCTAGCTTTCATTGGTCGAGGCATTGAGTATAGGAGTTGGGATGTTATGTTACAGCTATGTAAGTTGTTGGTAAGGCCGCACTTGGAGTATTGTATACAGTTTTGGTCACCCTGTTATAGAAAAGACATAGTTAAACTGGATAGTGTGGAAAGAAGGTTTACGAGGATGTTGCCAAGACTGATAGGCTTGAGTTGTAGGGAGAGGTTGGCCAGGATAGGACTTTATTCTTTGAAACATAGGAGAATGAAGGGTGACTTTATTGAGGTGTATAAAATCATTAAGAGGCACAGATAGGATGCCCAGGGATGGGAAATTGAAAACTAGAGGGCATAGGTTTAAGGTGAGAGGGGATAGATTTAAGAAGGACCTGAGGAGCAACTTCTTCATGCAGAGAGTGGTGGGTATATGGAATGGGCTTCCAGAGAAAGTGGTTGAGGCAGGTACAATAGCAACATTTAAAAACATTTGGATAAGTACATGGATGGGAAGGGTTTAGAGGGATATGGACCAAAGAAGGCAATTGGAACCGGTTGTGTGGGCATTATGGTCAGCATGGACCAGCTTGGGCTGAAGGACCTGTTTCCATGCTGTATTCCTCTATGACTCTATGACATGTTCACGTGTTTATACACACAAAATGTAAAAAGAACAGCAGGGAAAGAAGAGGAAAAAGGAACATTTCAGTAGGGACCGTTGATAATTTGTTCAGCCCTGAATACTAAGTGGATGGTCAACTAAATGAATTGGATGGTTTTAAATGTGGCAAGTGTATACCAGAATAATCCATTAGTGAAAGTAGAGATGACTATTGATCATCCACACAGGATATGGTCAGCATTAACAGTTATTAGGAAAGACTCTGGGGCTCATGATTATAAATTCAAGCAGGTCTCTCTCTCTCTCTCTTTTTTCCACCCGACTTCCTCCCTGTCTCTGTCCCTCGCTTGTATGATCACTGTTAGATTATTCTGCACAGATATGGGCACTCTGCGTTAGACATTCAAATATCCAGGTTTTTTTTAAGAGGCCACTGCACAATTCACTACCTGCCTGCATCAATTAAAGTAATAACCTAAATTTAGTGTGTCTCTCCTCAAGTGCACAATTGTAGTATTTGCCCAAGCGGACCCCACACTATCTTTTCTTTCTTCACATTGCTGGCTGCTTCTGTACACGGTGGGGGCAAACATTAAAGGGAAGCTACACCGAATGATATTAGTGGACTTGGGTAAGAGGATATTGAAGAGCAGGGAGTAGGGAAGAGGGAGGGTTCCAGCATGATGGGTAAGTGCTGGAGGTATTAGGAGTGGGACTGGGTAAGGGGAGTGATTCTGCGGTTCTCCAGGGGATCAGGAGATCCTCAAGAACCATACGGAGAAAGGAGTGGGAGCAAAGATTGAGGGAAATCATTTCCTGGAATCAGGACCCGAGGGCTATGCTGCAATGCCAGATGTAAGTCAGGGCCTCACGTGGATAGTCAGGATCAGGGATTGCAGCTACACAGGAAGTAGATGCAGCAGGACAGTAGCAGCCACATGTTCCCATGAATGAATTCAGGCTGGTTAAAATGGAATTTTTTTTGTCCATTTGTATTGTCCATTCACACATCCATCAATATCTCTTATCTTTAGACTTCCTTTCACACTGTTGACAATAATTATTTAAAATAATAACGTCAAATTTTGGAGATATGGACTTCTATCTATCCAAGATGATGGCAGAGTAGGACTGTTCAACTGGAGCTCATCTGCTCCATCTGTTTCTTTTTCTTTTCTCTCGTTTTTGTTTTTATTCTTTTTTCTGCTCAGTGATGTCCTGAACTCCCAACCTCGGTGCGGATCCGGCGTGGCATCCTCTTGGCCCGGTGTGGCTTTAGCGTGGACTTCCGGCCTCGAGGTGATTCCAGAATGGTCTCCCAGATCTGAAACCTCGAGGTAAAGCCTGGCATGGTCTGGAGTCAAGGCCTGGCGTGGACTGGAGTCTAGATGCCAGCATGGACTGGGTTAGAAGGGCTGTTATTCTGAACTTATTTCTTCATTATTCTAATTTATTCCTAGGATCTGTAATGCTGGATGTTTGATTTCTTTATGTTTCTAATCTTGTTCTCCTCTAAGAATTTGTACTTAAGAATCTGTGCCTAGGTATCCTTGTACCTAAGATGACGCTATATAAGTGGTGACTTGTGAACTTTTCACTGTACTCATTTGAGTACATGTGACAATAAAGATAATTCCAATTCACAAGATATCTTACCCGTCATGCCAATCTCTCTCACACTTCTCAATGCCACACATCTCTATTGCTCACCCAACATTATTCCCTGTCACTGTGAGCTCATACCATACATCTGGTTACTGCACTTCATCCTCATGAATTGACCAGTGCTTGTCAGTCCCATCGCCAGCTCTGCAGGCTGCATATATCTCCAGCTATTCAAAAAGCAAGCAATTCATCCAAACAACATGGCCACAACCACTTGCATTTCTCCTTCCCTGTTACAAGATGGTACATATTTAAAGGAAATTAGAGAGAAACAGGGATGGCTGCATCCCTGCATCTTAAGGAAGAGATTGATTTCCACATTTGGGTTGACTGTGACAGAGCCCATGTGACCTGACATCACTGGGAGCTTTGAGGAAGACAGTGTCTTTATAATACCTCTTTTCAACTCGCAGTCACCTCCATCCGGTTTCTGGCCTGATAAGCAAGCTATGAATGAGGTGACCAGAAACCTCTGTACCAACTGCATTCTTCTGATTTCTTACCTTTAGTTACCAAAGAGCTATCTGTCCCATCCAAAGAGGAAGAGAGA